CAGGACTGCCCTCCCCACCCCAGCTGCTGGCTTCCCTCTTTCATCCCACCCAGCACCATGTTCCCATCTACCACTTGGAATGTTAAAGTAGATAGACATTAAGGCTTAAACCAAAAGCAAGATGTTTACATAGACGATAAAGTAAACATGGGGTGATTTCTAATAAGTAAATGAATTAAAATTAAAATAGAAAAATAAAGGAAAAAATTGAAATCACATAAAACAGAAATCTTGAAAATCCAAAGCCAAAGACTTCCTTAAAGGAAGAAGTGAGTCCAACAACCCCTTGGTGTCACCGGGAAAAGGAGTTGCAGGGGACGGAATCATTTTCTTCTTTTTCTAGAAGTCCCCATGTTCCAAATGACTCGATCATCTTTGAGTCACTAGATTTCCAAAGTGATCATATTAGATCAAGACCAGGCCAAAGGAGATTGGTGCCAAAGTTTGTAAAATCTACCCCCTCCACCACCAGAATTCCTCCACAATGAAACAGCATATTCTGCCTCTTTCTCCACTCTCCTGCTTGGAATTTGTTTTAATCTCAACCTTAGGACATTATGTAAGATCCCTTACTTGTTAAGATTTTTATAATATTAGTTGGTCAGTTTTCTCTTAGTTGTATTTCTGATGCATTGTTTAGAAAAAAAAAGGCAGGCAAACAATGATGTTCCAAATGTTCAGATCCAACATGACTTTACGCTTAATTTTTCTTCCATTATTTATTTTTTATTCAAAATGTCTTTATAGTTGTTGACGTAAATAAATATACAAGCCCTTTTATTTTCTTTAGGCTTCATTTACTTACATAATTTATCATGTTAGCTTTTGTCATCACTGAGAATAACTTTTTATGTACAAAATAAGGAAAATATATGCTTTCGGTTTGGCTTGCCTGAGAGCCATTTATTGAGCAATCTGTTCCTGGGATTTTCATACTGAGTTCTGCTCACTCTTTCTTATCAAACACTTTGTCGTTTGGTATAGTTGTGTTTTCATTTACTTTTGAGATAGAACCACACTACATAGCCCTGCATGACCTACAAGTGACAATGTAGACCAGGCTTACCTAGAACTCACAAAGATTCTGGTGGTTTTGACTCTGGAGTGCTGGGATTACAGGCATGACCACATGGAGCTCTGAACACTTTTGTGATGAAGCATTCTTTGAATCTCTACTGGAAGCTTTGTTACTAAATCTCTGTTAACAATGAAAGGTCTATGTCAGAGCCCAGTTGCTTCTCACAGCATGGAAACAAGACAGAGGTAGTCTGTTACAACACTGCAACTTTTAAAAAAGAAAGTCAAGAAGACATCATCATAACTGATCTCAGACTTTGATTTATAGTATTTTATAACTGAAAATATACTATCAAGTCAATACATATACATGCCTTTATATTTCTTCACAAATAGACTAAATGGGCTCTTACTTTGTTTGGAACATTTTCTAGTAACTTATGCATTCTAAACATACCACCAGTATCATGCCAGTCACTTTTCTGCAAACACATCACAAAGTGAAGTGCCATTAATTCATTTTTATGTGTATTTATTCAACAGTATCTTGGTGATAGAAGATTTCCAATGAACATTTACCAAACGAGGGATGAGGGAATGAAACATTCTACTGAAGTATGGTGCTCCACAAATGGCAGAGTATTAATAACTGCCTCAGAAAGTTTAAGTGTGGCTGATGCAGGAACAAATGTGTGCCTTTTATTCACGGCAAATCTCGAGAGATGAATAGCAGCCAAGTGTGATGTGTGATATTCACAGCAAGGCCTGCGAGATGAATAGCAGGTACGTGTGATGTGTGACTTATTCATGCTAGTAAGAGATTTATAGACTGGGTGTCTATTAACAGATTTGCGTTCTAACTCTGCATAGGCTGGTCTTTTGTCACGATTAGCTATGTTGTCACTGTATGTTAAATAATAGGTTGTCAAACCAAAATATAGAAGAAATATGAAGGCAGAAATCCCAAGTATTTCACATCCTTCTAGGTTAGCCAGCAATACATCCCCAATTGTACGTAATACAAAATTTAGAGATGTACATGTATTCATGCAAAAAAAAAAAGATTCCCTTTCTGAACATGAGACCTACTGTTATGGGCTAACCAGGGTTTCAATAAATCCTTGTGGTGAATTACTAATTTCTCATGTCTCCAAGTATGAACATGCTTGTGGAAAAATTCTTTAGTAAAGGATAATTTTTGCTTATTTGTTTTTTCATTTGTTTTCCTGGAAATTTCAGGAGCAAATTTCCCAGGGCTTAATTGTGTGAGGCAAACAATATATACTACTTTTCAAACAAGAATGAAGGTAGGAGGAAGTCATATGATGTATTGTAATCTATTATGATTAGTATCCATAGATGAAGAAGAGCTATGGACTCAAAAACATCTACAGAGGAAAAACAATGATAAGACATACAGAGTAGATGTCCCACATAGTCAAAGTCAAGAGGCCCCAAAAGAAACCAACCCCATTGTCATCTTGATCACTGGTCCCTAATCTGCCTAGCTGGCAGATTAAACTATGTGGCCTGCCATTCTTGCCCTTAAAATCCTAGGAGATTCTAGAAGTATGGAATGAAGTAATAGATGGTAGACACAGGAAAGACGTGGAAGAACAGGTAACAAAACTGATGAGAAACTTAGGAACAGGGAGAGGTGTTGGAGAGCGAAGGGGGTAGGACATACACAGAAGACTAAACATGATCATTGAATAATGTATGTATACATGGAAATGCCACAATGAACTCCAATAATTTGTACAACTGGTAAGTCTAATGTAAAAAAAAATTAAACTGAAGATGAATATACTCAAACATTCAAGGGATTAATGTGACCATATGCTTGAAAGGTTTGAATCATCCTGCCCTTTTCTGTATATTCAGTTTTAGAACAGATGACTCATGCTGGCACACATTGGTTCTGTTAGATCTGATCCATCTTTGTGGTAAAACACCATCAAAGAAGTCGGCTTATTAGCTGATTCTTCTAATTCACCTCTCCTTCAGTGAACAAGGAGGTCAGATTTAATTGCCTGTCTGATGCCTTGCTTTATTTTGTATTGCTATTGCTATAATAAGATAAGTGGGACTAAGTAACTTGTAAAATAAGGAAGTGAATTCGGCTTATTATTCTGATGTCTGCAGATACAGACAACATGGCGCCAGTATCCCTGTGTATTGTATCACACTGTGGTAGAGAAAAAAAGGAACTAGTTATAGAAAAAAAGGGTTCACGGATAACCATTACTATGAGATAGAGAAAAACTTGGGTCAATGTTATTCATGACAAAGTACTCCTTAGGAAACATGTCCTCTCTTACTGAATTTGACATACTCTTGGGAGATAATGTTAATCCACTGACTGGGGTGGAACATTAATGATCTAATTGTCTTACACTAGTCCCTGATTATTCAGAGCCATTACCTCAGTGTCAATGCAGTGAGGACTTTGACGCCAACATACGACAGTCTAGTGACAAAATACGCCACAAATCCTACCACTAATTTTTACACCATGACCTAATCATGTAGATTAAGGTAACTTTAACCCTTGGACACACACCTCTGAGAAGGATACACATATGCTTTTCCTTCTAGAGATTAGGTAATTTATATGCTCCTTGCCAGCATTCTCTTGAGCATAACAAATACAGGAAAAGTGTGTGATGGAACCATCCATATTTTCCCTCATTTCCCACTCTGGTTTGTAGGGAGTAGAGATAAAATGAAAAATTTTAAATTGGGGTAAATTCAAATGGCAGAGTGTGGGTTATGTAAATGAAAAGGCTAACCCACATTGAAGTCCCATCCCCTAGGTAAAGAAACATTGTCTTCTTTTTGCCCTAAGAGAGGACGGAGAACTTCTATGATTGTTCAGTCCTGCCACACCTATATCTCTGTCCACAGTGGCCACACATCCTTTCCACGCACTCATGGTTGATAGGGAACCAAGCCAGATTTGCTGTCATATCCTAATCCCACAACTAAAAGATACATTTCTCCAAGTCATCTTAATAAAACAACATGGGGATAAAGTTTTATAAGGCAATAGAGAGAAAAAAGTCAGAATTTTCCATGCTTTGTGATTCAGCATAATTAATTTAGTAACTGTGTCATATGAGAAGAGTAAATAAAGGAAAGGGAAGGGTTGTGGATACATATGGTCACTGAAGCATGTACAATTGCAAGGAAAAACAAATTACAGCGGTATGCTGGAAATGAAAGCATGGTAGGAAATATCTTCTGAATGCTAATTTGATTCTTCTATTGAGCCTTAAAGTGGCAGTGTCTAGGAGTGCAGTGTTTATATCCCCTTGCTTGTATTTTTAGCAGTTATATAACTCGGCATTTCTGAAAACCAATTAAACACTTTCCTGAATCTACTGGGAATTTCCCTTAAGTGGTTCTCTTCCTGGGCTCCTGCAGGACAATCATTTCATTTACAACATCTTGCTGGAGAGCAATTCCTCATCACAGGTGTTTCCAGAAATGTATGAAATTAATAAGTGCAGCAGAGTCATAATAAAATGCAGCTTCCTCTGGACACAGGTGCAGCCTCTGGGGTTTGTTTCACAAAGAACACCAAGACTCTCTGTCTAAGATGAGCAGTTTGTGTCTCTTACTGAAGTTCTTACATTTGCAAAACAGGATTATTTCTGAGAAAACAATTGTTTCTGAGTGGCAGGATGCAAGCACAGATCTCATGTCATAAATACAGGCTTTGAGGGATAAATAATCTCTTCCATTAAACCAGCAGAGCAGAAGTAAATTTTTGACTTATTAGGGAAAGCATAACCACATCTATTTCATTTCTATTGCTTCTTCCTCAGTCAAGAACAAGATATGAGCCTTGATCCTTGCCATATCGATTTCTCCACTGTTCTGTCCTCATGCAGACATTGTATTGTCAAGGCTGGCTACAACCCTGTACCTTTGGTCATCAGTGAGAGTCTACTCTTTAAACTATTGGTGCAGGGGCTTACCGACAGTGTTTATGGGATCCTGTCAGGGTCTCAATCACAAAGCACTCTCCATCATTGAGGCAATATGCTAGGTCCTTGTCTCGGCAGGGTTTGAAGTGCTCAGATCGTTCTGTGGAGTATGTCGTGGTATCTGAAGAAGAGAGAAAAGAAGGAGATGTGGTTGACATGTTTTATCATACAGTTCACTTATATCATTAGTGGGACAGGTGAGTCCAGGACTATGCAAAGGCAATACCCATGGGGATTAAAAAGAGCACCAATCTTCAATGAAGCTAACCTACTAGCTGAGTTAGCCTACTGTATTCAATTGTTTTATACTCAGCCCTGTATCCTGGGATTCAACTGACCACAGACAAAAAATATTCAGGAAAACTGACTTAAGACTGGGCATAAAAAAAGCTCATCTCTATTGTCAGCAACACATAGGTGGAGCCCAGAGGACCATGAACTCAAGTAATACTTGTGCTACATACAGAATTCAAAGATAGACTTAGTAGTATAGCATTGCCTTTTTTGGGAAAAAAACAAAAATAACAAAAACAAAAACAACAACAAAAAGGCTAAAATAGCTAAAGCACTCTCAGCATTGCAAGGTCCTGGATTCACTCCCCAGCACTGCATACAAAATAAAATTGAAGCTGGGCATGGTGATGCATGCCATTAATCCCAGCACTATGGATGCTGAGACAGGATGATCTCTGTGAGTTCAAAGCCAGTCTGATCTACAAAGCATGTTCTAGGACAGCTAGGGTTGTTACAGAGACATGAAAACCCTCTAGATAGATAGATAGTTAGATAGATAGATAGATAGATAGATAGATAGATAGATGATAGATAAACAGGTATATTGTATCTGTTCATCCTTTTTCTCCTCACCACTATTATCTAGCATTCACTAAACAAGGGCCAATAGCACCTATTTAAACAATATTTGTATTATACTCTGTATCAAAAATGCTGTACAATTGTACAGGAAGGAGTGCATAGGAGATGTAAACACTGAATCATTATAGGCAAGGGTTTGAACATCCACTCAGAATCCAATGCATGTCTTGCGATCAATCTCCCAAATGATGTCCTCCAACTGCAGTTTGACAATGGAGTCACTCTGGGGCAGTGGTTCTCGGCCTTCCTAATGCTACCACCCTTGAATACAGTTCCTCATGTTGTGGTTACCTCAACCATAAAATTATTTCATTGCTATTTTATCACTAACTGTAATTTCACTATTGTTATGAATTGTAAGACAAAGATCTGATATGCAGGGTATATGATAAAGCGACCACAAAGGGTTCATGATTGACAGGTTGAGAATCATTGTTCTAGGGCTACACAGCCTCCTCCATGTGAGCACACATAATACCAAGAACTGAATGAATGGTCGTAAGTCAAACACAGCTCAGCAACTTCGGTTCATTTCACTTTTAACCAGTATACTATATGAAGCATGAATTTCATTCCCATTACTGCTGCCAAATGTTGTTAGACATTTGATGAGTATATATCCTGTCAGTTTCGGAGTGCTTTGCTTACAGCTATAATAGCCTAATAGATGTTAATTTTTCTTTCACATTCCCAATTCATTATGTAATTAAAGTTTCAATGCTCCAAATTCTGGAAGACAGTCACATGTGAAGAATAATCATGAAAAATATTTAATGGTATACATAATTGCGATTTTCAACATTCATTTAAAACATGTTCTTTTAAATCATAGTTACTTATTTTTCTCATTGAGATACATGCATACCTGTATCTCAAATATTAAACAAGCCATAAATACATCCTAACTGGAGGATGATCCTACTTCCTCATCTAGACTTTCCTTTAGTTGCAGAGTTTTATGCAACTGAAGTATTAACAATAATCCACTGCAACAGACAAGAAAATACATTTTTATAAAAAATATGGAGAAATTATTCAGCCTTTAATATGGTTAAATTTCCTCTTCATGGATGTAGCTGTGTGACAATGTTTCATGCTATAAGATTTCACTCACAATTCCACCCATTCTGTAATTCCATGACTTTTTGATGGGCAAGTGCTGAGGCCTATTCAGAAATGGTACTCAGTAAAATATGGACAATAAATATGACCTCCCTAACATCACAAATCAATCAAATATCATGAAGGAAAGGTAAGATCATTAATGATCTCATTTCAATGCTACTAATACTTTATGTATCTCTAAGAACAAGAAGAAACACATATGATCTCACTTTCATGAGGTAAAATATTGGTAATTTCAATATTGGTGGATATATCAATATGATAACTTCAGAGTTTCACTCATAATTTTGCATAGATATTAAAAACAGGACTTTGAAGTCCCTTTAGATTACAATGGGAACTATTTTATGTTTTAAGGTAACTCCCTGTTAAGACTTCCCATAAGATAAAGGCTATGTAAAACAGACACGTTCTGTTTTCTAAATTTTCCCTAGGGTAAAGACCTGGTTATTCAGAGCAATATGTACTATACAGCCGCACAGACTCCATCTTGCATTTTATGGAAAGTAGTTGATATGCAGGCACTCCAAGCAGAGAATTCAGTATAAAACACCGCACAGTTGATGGCTTTCCCTACTGCTTAAGTATGCTGTCAATTCAAGATCGGCTACTTAACTTCTCCTTTAATTTCTTATTATCCATTGATTGATATTCACTGATCATTTCTCTAAGAGCAGCTTTTCATTAACATAACCTACTGAAGAAAAAGTAAAATCCCTTTTTTATAATCAGCAGCTTTTCATTAACATAACCTACTGCAGAAAAAGTAAAATCCCTTTTTTATAATCAGTGGTTTTTAACAAGCTACAGACTCAGAGTGTAATACAATGACAAAGCAATTACAATCAATTAATTTCCATCTGACAATTGCAGTCTCCTGGGGTTCCCATACAAGTCTACCAATTACATTGCTGTCACAGTGGGAATCATCTGTCAGCACATTACAGAGGATCAGAAACCAGAGGAAGTGTCTCTGAAATAGACCTGGGTATAAGAAGCAGGGAATACAGACTTGGAATGTACTTGAGACTTCTATAGTTATGATACGATAAGAGTAAATAATTGAATCTACTTTTAAACCAAAGAAGCAACTACTAGACTTAAATATTTTACATTGATATGGATTTTTGTATATTGATGCAAATTTAAGTTTATTTTTATTAGAACATACTTTACATACATTTTCAAGGTATTGTACCCATATAGCTCATTTAACAATGTAATATAAACTTCTAGTTCTTGAAAGTTAACATTACCAACTACTTAGGCTAATAAGGAATGCAGATTAGTACTTAGTCACCTATTACAATTGAACTTGTAGTCATATTAGGTATGTTTTCAAAGTCAGGCACAGATATATTTTATATAGACAGGTCATCTTCAAATACTTCAAAGATCTTCAGAATATGGCATTTAAGATGTTTTAATAACATATGTTTTTGTTTTATATAAGACATGTCTTTTCCTGGAAGTACCAGTCTACTTCAGAGATGATGGGCATTAAAGAAACTCCAGGGAATTTACTTCCTTTGTTGAAAAATTAAGCCATTGGGCAAGAAAGTTTTCTTGCCTCAAATGCTAACAATATTTTAGAAGCAAGACACAAAAGGAAATAACTGCAAAACTGCACAGAAAAGCTAGGCTAGCCCTTCAGACTATTCTATTCCACAGAAAAGTCTGTCAGATATACTAGGCCAGTAGTTTGATGATAGATGACCCAACATTACCGAGGAACCTTGGGTGACTGTCCATGTACCCATCTCTATCTGTCATTTCCCACAATTTTTAGAAGTTGGTTGCTTGGACTTCCTGCTTATTCAGGTAATATTATTTTTTCTTATGTCTCTGATGGAGTTTAAGATTTAATAGTTATAGTTTACCTTGTTATCAAATTCAGAAAAGAAACTGTCTAAAGAAATGTTTAAAGTTGAGAGACTTGGTTATGCAAGTTAGAATAGATAGTGAATTAGGTACAAACTTTTGGACGCACCAACATAAAATAGATATGGAGTATTTTCTCTGCATTTGTCAATTGTTAATGAATTAGACATTGTTGACATATTTATTGCCTGTATTTATTGTATATAGTTACCGTACCTTTTGCATAGAGTTTTTCATGCTACATATACCAATAATTCGAAGAATCACAGAATTAATTTCAAATACTTTAACTGATTTCCAAATGAACATTTTGACAATTTTGTAAATCTCCATGTGATGGACCATGAGAGAGTCCTGGATTTGATACTTCTTTAAGTAAATAAACTGAAATTATCAATAAGTTTAAAATCTCAGCATTTACCCAGCATTTTGCTTTGATATCTACATTGTACTACTCACTGCAAAGCAAAGGACTTGTGGACACAGTTAAGACTTACGCCTCATGAAGTACAAGTTTTTCATTAAGTAATCTTTCCAAAATTGAAGATTGACAGGTCTCAAAATCATACTGCTATGTGAACTTGAAAACCAACTAACATCATATGTAAAATAAGAAACATACAGAATACTAAAGTAACCATTAGTGATACTTTCTATAATTTATAATCAAATGTAGCCTAGGAATAAACAGTAGGCCCTGTGGATAATACCCACTAAAATTTGTTTATAAGTATATATACTCATCTGTTTGTATGCATTTAATATTTAACATAAAATCACTACAAAATTCATCATATAGAACATAAATTAAAAATAAACTGTCATATGCCATTTATTATGTTGTTTCTGTGCCCCAAGGTAGAAAAACAGTTGAGGTAGATCTTCAGTTCTTTAAAGTTAAATGCTTGGGTTACATCAGAGATCAGAAATCATAGTCTCATCTATCAACTCAGCTAATACTTTTGAGACATATTTATGGTTTTGAAAATTGCAGCACCATTAAGATAATCCAATACGCTAAACTGACTATAAAGTGTGTGCTATAATTTTGGCATGTCCTTAATTGAATTTATTTTTAGAAACATGTCTTAACAAAATACGTGACTTTTATCAAAAATAAATGCGATATTTATTTGTGTAATTTCGTTATATAGATGAAAGACTTGGCAAATCAATACTACCATGAATCCCATTGTTTTTTAAAAGCTTTCATAGGGTCATACTCAGTAAAAATTCATT